TTTGCAGGTTCAGGGGATTTAAACGGAAAACAAATATGTGAGGATCAAAAATACATGTGTAAAACTTTTTTCTGTATTTGGATTTTATTTACATGTATATGAAACGGAACACATTTGTGTGTGCATTGAAAAACACAAGTGTGGATCCGGAAATACAAGTGTGAATCCTTCTGTGTGCATGTGTGTATTATGCAGAGGTGGGGACTCGAGTCACATGACTTGACTCGAGTCAGACTCTTGACTTGTCTTTTTTTGACTTGAGACTTGCTTGACTAACATTGATAAAAGACTTGACTTGACTTTGACTTGGTATTCATGACTTGAGACTTGACTTAAGCTTGAGACAGATGACTTGAAAGGACTTGACTGTTTAAAATTAAATATTTGCGTTTGTTTTTGTAGTGAGATATTACGTTTAGTTTTTTCGAAAAACGTGATTGGGTGATTATAGCGCCGTGCGCTCAAACCTGGCAACCCACTAGACGGCAGGAGTGTCAGTTAACATGGCAGCGGTTAGCGTTACGGCCGGTCCACACAGAAGCGTTAAAAAAATCTTGGAGGTGGGCGTATCTGAAGCTTGGGGATTTTTTGCGAGCAAGGCACCAACAACCAATCACATGAATCTCCCGCCCCCGACATACGAAGCAAAAAAGTTTGAAGTAAACTGGATATAAACTCCCCAAACAGGCGAAAACATACCACTGTCTCTGCCACCTCCCTCCATGCCTGGCTCCTCCGGTTTATATCCCGGTAGGTAAATAGGGACTGGTCATAAAGCACCGGGTGATTCCTTACCGCTAATTTCTCCTCCATTTTTTGGAATATGAGGAAATGACCTGCGGTATGTCTCTCCCAGCATACACGCGGTTTGATTGGCTAGCGCTTGAACTGTCAGATTTGCATACACGGGATTTGATTGGCTGACGCTTCCACCTCAGCTTCAAAAGTTGAACATTGCTCAACTTTGAATCCTGAAAATCCTGAAAATCTCCGCTCGCCTGCCCACAATGCAGTTCGGCGAAAAGTGAGGCAAAGTGACGTCACCCCATTCAAAGTGAATGGGCAGAAGCGTTTCAATATTTTTTAACGCTGCTGTGTGGACGCTCCGTTAGTCCAAAAATAGTGAAGTTTGGATTCAAGGATTATGTTGTCGATGACGCTAATAAGAAGAGAACAGCGGTATGCAGGGTCTGCAGCATAAAGATCAGTGACACGACCACCACAACATCCAACTTCATTTGTCACTACAAAAAAACCCACAGAGAAAGGTGCGTGCATGTGTTGTGTTAGCTAGAAAGCTAACGTTCAGTTTAAGCTACGTTAGACTTGGTTTCAAATCGATTAAGCAAAGAGAAGACAAAACGGTAAATGAACACTAGAACCACCATGGGATTCATTTTAACTAACCCCGATACTGACGGGCTGTCAGGAGAGGGAGAGAGAGAGAGGAAAGGAGATGCCTCGTTTATTTCCCCTGTGTTATTATCAGAAGTTACTGTAAACTGTTGAATAATGTAGTTCATCTACTTTTAGTAGTTTGTTTAAATGTTTTAATTATGTTGTTTTTGTTTGTAGAAGTGCATCATTCCTTGATTTATTGTAAAATGAATCTGAACTTTTTGATCTGTTATGATGATAAACTGAAGCAATTTCTAAATGAACCCAATTAACTGAGTTTTAAACCGTCCTACTTAGTTTATAAGGAAATGATATCTATGTAGGTGCTGATGCTGTTGGCGGTTCTAGTGTTAACAGAAATTTCAATGAAATATGTGTAATGGCAAATGCCATATATGATTTTCTTACCTGGAAGTCTGCCTTTTTGAACAGACTTTTTGACTGAGTCATAGCTATATTGTCTGCAGTTCTAGGGTTAATATTAATCTAATATGATTGTCATCGGTCTAAATTAGATTTCAAATGATTAACTGTGTATGTAATGAAGATCATAGTGTGGGTTGAATCCATTTTCATAACCACTGTCTTTTAACTGATTTAAATGCGGAAACTGGGCTTATTCATCAGAATTTCGTATGACTTGACTTGACTTGACTTGCTTGACTCTCACCACAGTGACTTGGGACTTGCTTGATACTTGTAGGTCAAGACTTGAGACTTGCTCATGACTTGCACATGTAGGACTTACTCCCACCTCTGGTATTATGAGACTGTTCTGAGCCCATACTAGTGAAACTGTGTACTTTAAGAACACACCTGATGTTTAGAGAATGTCATATTAGGAAAGAACATACCAATAAATACATCTGCACTCTTGTAAGGCTAATATATAACTTTATTTAGTAAAGTACAAAACAGTCAAATGTACTGAAGAAAAAGCAATACTCCATTGAATTATATTAAAGAAAAGACTGTAATAAAAAAGCCAGAATCCACTTTACAAAACCTTCATCATGCCCACACTGTAAGTATAAAGAATACAGTAAATCTCCAACATGTCTGCCCCTGTCTCACGATCCACCTCTAGAGGGACTCACATGTTTTGCTGTACTCTCACTTTGATGCTATTAAGCCAAACAAAGCAAAAACCTGGTCAATATAAATCTTATTGTAACTCTGCTCGCTTTGCCCTTGTAATATCGTTATAATATGTGTGCCATAGTTTAAAATACAGCATTAAACTGCATTATTTTTTGCTCTGATTGGTTAGCTGGCCGGCTCTGTTGTGATTGGTCAACCGGTTAGAGATGTCCCGCCCCTTAGCCTATCACGTATAATGTGTTGGAGCGCTAGCCAATAGGAGTACGAGTATTACATTCTGATGTCAGACTTTTCACCAAATCCGATATAACAAACTTCAGGAAAGGAGGAATAGGGCCTCTTTGAAAAGTTGAAATACATCAGTCATGTTTTTGCATTTACTTCTAAAAACAGTTTTCTTACCGTAGCATCCCTCCTGTAAAATGTAAGAGGCTGGATATGAAAAACCTCTCGAACACATAAAGTCTCCTCCTATCAGGAAACAGTTCCTCCTGATTGGTCCCTTCCCTCCAAAAGCAATAAAGAATGAATTGAAAAGACGGCGGTATTGTTTTTATCGTGTCGGGAGAGAGCGGAGGTGATAAAGATGAACAATTGTGCCAAACTATCTTTTCTTTTTCCTGCTTTGCCACAGCGGCACCTCAGACTGATAACAGAAACATGGCAGAGAGATAAGACGGAGAGAATAAGTCAAATGAGTGAGGAACAAAGTGGCCTGTGTGTCTGTGAGGAAAATATACTCCATTATATTTACTGTAAAACAGACAGAAGAGAGAATCTAAATGCGTAAATTGTGTCAATGGACTCATTTTATAACTTGAATTATAATAGAAATAGTTACGATTTGTATATACAGTAAAGTGGTCAAAACTGTGGCAAATCATTACATATATAGTCATTTATTCTAACTTAATTATGTGTTTAGTAGCCTTACATGTTCACGAGCTAAGGATTACCCTAAGGAGACATTTAAACTATTTTTGAGGAATTCTTTACTATTTAAAGGTCCCCTAATATACTGTTTTTAATCAATATATAACAGGTCTCAGATATATACAGAACATGTCTCTGATTGGCTGAAACACCAAACAGATCATTGCAGCATCCCATAATCCCCTCTGTTTCAGCCCTGTTTCAAAAGTGCTGATTCTCTGGGTGTTTCTCAATGTCGAGGACGCTTCCTTGGTAGCACATGTCTTCCGAGTCACTTGCTTCAGAAGCGAGGCAAGAATCCTTCCTAGCCTCGGAAAACGAAGAATGGTGGAACAGGCTAACAGGTGTGCGTCATATGCGAGGCCCCGCCTTACATGGAGCGCGATTTCCGCCAAAGATTTGGAAATACACATGTGCAGCCTCGAAATTTCCCGCAACGAAGTACGCCGGCCTCGGTAGAATTCCAAGTATGCTGGACATTGGAACAGTCCTTCGGCGGCACTCGATGACGTAGTATCCTTGAAATAGTGGCTCTGGAGCAGCCTTCCTCGACATTGAGAAACACCCTCCGTCTGTTACTTTAGATGAAAATAAGGAGCCACTCCCCACGCCCCTCTGAGAGCTATTTGGTTAAAAAGAACACTAGCCGCGTTCACACCAAGTACTTTGCCGTACTTAGTGCCGGCACTTATTACCCCGGCACTTATTACCCCAGGGCACTTAGTACAGATCGCGTTCACACCGGTATAAGTTCCCTGAGGGAAGATTACGCAAATGAGCCGCTGACCACTTCACGGCGTATACTGCCACCCGAAGTCCCCGGCCGGAAGTCCCCGGAGTTGGGGACTGGCTTCAGTAGAAGCTGCTGGGACTCCCAGCAGCTTCTACTGAAGCCTTCCGAGTAAATCGCCAGAACGCCGACACCTCCTCATCTCCACCTCTCCCATGTTTTCTTTTGTGTTGCCATAAATTAGTCTCTCTGCGTTTGTGAGCTGGGCGAATGCTAATGCTAATAATGCTAATGCGAGGATAATAAAATGGCGGCTCTACAAAACATTTCAGAGTTGTACGGGGCGTGGTTTGCAATTCGCCCAGCCAATCAGAACTGGGGCACTTTTTTCCCCCAGGAAAGTACCACCTCTCAGCAGGCACTAAAAATGGGGGTAAAAGTTCCCGGCACTCAGTACTCTTTTTGGTGTGAACGCGACATAAGGGGTACTAACGGAACTAAACTCGAAAAGTACGGGGAAAAGTACTCCGGTGTGAACGCGGCTATTGGTGCTCTAGGGGGAGACTCAGGTGATAAGGTGTGGGATCAGCTCATTTTCAGATGTATAAGAGACATGAACAAGTGGATTTTGCATAATAGGTGACCAGGCTAAAATATTATTTGGTCTATTTTAGCCTTTTTTGTCTTCATTATATACCTGGGTTACAATAGGTAGAACGTATCATAACACTCAAGAGGATAATAATCAGTAGGAATTGCAGTAAATGAATACAAAAACCTTAATTATTTTGTATTATGACGAAAAAATGCTTCAAAAAAGACTTTAAAAAACACCACGTATTAAAAGATTTTTTTATTCACAATAGAAGTGTAACAAATATAGTTTCTTAAAAAGTCTGCTGCTTATTAATATCATTTTAATCCATAAGATCAGAAGATTTTTATATAAATGTAATTCGGCTCATTAGCCTCAATGGAATATTTACACTTTTTTTTCAATAATAATAATAACATTAACACAACAAAACAGATTTTCCCCACAAAATTAAGATATTGCATATAAACGCAAAGTAAACTATGTGCAATGGAATGATTATCAGCAATATTTTGTACAGATACATTTCTGAGGTTCACTCATTCAAACCTTTTAAAGGGCAACGCGGACCATTTTTTACATCCAGATGAATTCAGTCGTGTTTGGTGAACACTCGTGATTAAAGTAAAGATTCAGAGTGATATAAATTAGAAAATATTTTGGGAGAAGTGGTTCATTTACCGCAAAGACTGACTTAATTCTGAATACAAAAAAAGGTGGAGTTACCCTTTAATTGTCACCGAAAGAAAGGCATTGAATCAACACAAGAGAAATCACCATATGGAAATGAGCAGATGCCTGATGTCCCACGGTGTGAAGCTTTCAATCTGAAAAATCAAATACATTCTGCGTTTCCTCTGCATTCAGGTAGACGGATCAGTGAGAACAACAAAGTGTTAAAAATGACTTGTTCAGATTAATCTTCAGAAATTAATCCGCTGACTTTGTGTTTATCCCAATCCATCAAGAGTCTGTCTTTCCATCAAACCTTTAAAACTGGATTACAAGTCAAATACTCGCACACAGATACTTGAACACACCATTCAGTCCCAAATGAAACCGTTCGTTCAAAGGTCCATCGAGACATCTTTGAAAAACAACCACCGTCATACTTTTTGAAGACACACATATATAACCCCCACCAGTTCCATCTCTAGAAGAATATACGTTTGATTTGTAATCAGAATTAATATATAATAATAATCAATTAAACCCAGGCTGCATCAATATCCTTATGTTGCAATAAAGCCTTACAATGAAACTACTTATATCAAAGGAAGATTATGAACTACAATCATTTCCTTCCACTCTTCTTTGTGCGACTAATATTCACTAAATCACCACCAAAAGTAGAAGTTCACTTTTACTATCTTTATTTGACTTTGCATCCAGGCCATAAAACCACGTGGTCATATCTTAAGTGTGAATGAAAGAAGAGACAAATATGAACCAAATTAAATCATCTCAATCAAATAAATTCTTGGCTACTTTACTTCACTCAAGATTGTTGAAACTGGCCGGATAAGAAGCCAATAATGGGCCAAAATATCATATTTAAAGTGTCCTTATAATGGACACTGAGCTGCATTACAGCGCTGTTTTCCACAATCTGCAAAACCTCACTTTCCTTCATCACCAAACACACATCTCTATGAACCAGACCGTTATTCATATCTCGAAGTTTTCATATCTTCTTAACTATATATAATAAACTCTTAAATAGATCTTGTTTATGAGATATTGCTGAATATTCCTATTCTCCGTGTCATCTATCACGTTGGGATGCGCCTGGCGGGGCGGATTTGGATCATTTCCTACATTAACAGCTTTTTAGAAAACACTTCTCTCCGTCTGCACACACTCTTTGTGCTTTCCAAGATCAATGAACAACAAAAGCACGCAGAAGTGAACACAAGAAGACAAGAAATAAATGCATACAAAATATTATTCACTTCACATTGGATGGTACATTCAGACAGTTCCTATCCTCCCGTTGGTTTGATCCCAGGTTTCCATTCCCATCACTATAAAAGCAGCATTTCTTAACACCTTTGATCATTGGTGATTTCATAATGTTAAGAAAAGTCGCACCTACAGGAGCTTTCACGTCTTTTTTTTTGGTAGATACATATGCATTAAGCCCACAGCGCCCCCTGGTGGTCCGCTCCACAAAGTCCTATGTTCACCACGACAGAATAAATTAACACAATCTGCATAAATCAACCATTACAACACAACATCACATGGATAATAAATGCCTCCAAAGCAACTGAGAAACAGAAACACGGAAACACAGGAGGAGTTTGTACAGTGAACAAAATGGAGGGATTCCTCACAGCGCACAACTAATAATATCCAACTATGATCCACATGATATGATATGTTCGTACATAGGTTGTTACATTGGGGAATTAATCAGTGTCCATTCATTTCTATGAATACAACCGGGTGGAAAATCAAGTAAGAAACTCAACACATTTTGGATATGCTGGGAAACACATGTGGAAAAAACACCTTTTGAAACCATCTGGGTCTTTTTTTCAACTAATACATTTGGGTGAAAACCAGGAGCCAAGATGGCAGACTTTTCCTTTACAGCCTAAAGTCCTAAAGTAGTGAACGCTGTCACTCAGTTTAGTTGAGACAGTTGAAACATTTGCAAGTATTTCAGACAGTCGGTTTAAAGCTGATTTATGGGTATTTTTTTATTTCCATTACCTTCTTTTAATGTAATTTCTCCATCAAATAGACACGATAAATGCTCAAATTGAAGAATAAGTGCATAAATTAAACTCTGAAAGTTAGTTTGCATCTATCAGAGGTCAAAAGACCAAAGAATCCAGGTTTGGTCATTTTCTATTTCAATTAAGTGACTTTATTTTTGTTTCCTGAGCTGAGAATACTCAGTTTTTTGTAATAATAGGACCGTCTGATAACATATTGAATAATGAGTGGAATACATTTCCTTAATCCTAACAAATAGACATTGTAATCTCAAGTTTTGGTCCAAAGCAGAAGTAAATAAGTGACTGGTACATAATGTTCTTTACTTTCCACACTCCAGTCATCTAACCCTGTCTCACATGGACTGTAATAGACAGACCTCACCACTAGATGTCAGTAGAGTAAAGGAAATCACTGGGACTTCTACAGGTGTAAAGACAGATGTTAGCCTCTGGAGGAAAAGCACACATATTATATGAATCAAATGTAATCCTCAGATGGATATCCACAGGTCTGATCTTCCACTTATCAGAAAGGAGCCACGGTGTCACCTCTTGGGCTGATTTCTATCCAGAGTTAAATTAAATATCTAATTCAAAAGCAGGAATTATCCTCATCTGAGGCAGGGGCACTTTCCCTAAAGCTCTGTGACTGTTTAAAGCGGGTGATACTGCTACTCCTTCTCCTCAGTGAAGGCACTAGCTCGAACACTACCTGGACTTGTATCTGGCTGCAGCTCTGAGAGGCAGCAGCAGGAATCCTTACTGAAGAACAGACATGGATGATGAAAATGTACAAACACAGTTTTATGAACAAATGAGGATGAAGGGAACAAAGAAAATCTCAACGTCACAATGGTAAAGCTGCTGGAATCAGTATGGCTTCTTGTGTGTGTGTGTGTGTGTGTGTGTGTGGGGGTGAAATAAGTCGAGTGTCTGCGTCCCCTCATAGAGGAGAGAAGATCCTACAGGCTGCTCTACACTGGAGCTGGAGGACAGAGAAGGGAAGAGGAAGAAGAGGGTTTGACTGATACTCAGGTTTGAGTCCCCATCATTAGAGACTTTTTGGGTCTAAAAATGCAGTTTTTTTAGGCATGTTAATGTTATTTTTGATGAATTGAAGGAAAGCAATATTTGCAGAAGCTGTTTGTGGAAATTCTAAATCAAATTTCCTCGATTCAATGACTTTAATCCAACAATAATAATGGGAGTGAACATTTTTGATTGATTTAGGACATAGTTTGTGCCAAGTATATAAATAACTGAATGTCCATTTACAAGATGTGTTAAATCGCCTAATGCATGATCACCCCCCATGACAGCTGAGCAACCGACATGTGGTTGACGGCTCTACAAAAGTGGACAGAGGTGAGATGTATTTCTTTTATTTGGTCGTACACTATAAGACTCTTTTGAAACCCTGTATTCATTGGCAATGAGCTTATTTTCAAGATAGCAAGAAATCAAATCCTGCAAACAAGAATGAAAGGAAAGATTATTTACTCGTGGATTTGAGAAACCAGTCTGAGTCGAACCCCAGAAATATCAGTGCAAATAGGGAGAAAAGGAAATGAATCCGGGATGCACAAAGCCAGATAAAGACACAGATGAGTTAAAGACGAGATGAGCAGAAGGAGAGCTTTGTGTAAACGTCGGGGGGAGAAAGTGAATCAGTGGCAGGCAGAGAGCTGGAGTCACACCAACACTCCCAGAGGAAGCAGTCAGGTGGAGACGGAGCAGGAAGCAGAGGAGCTCTGGTTGTGCTGCGTCTTTCCGTCACTCCCACAGAGACAACCACGCGGTTTTGTAAAAGCAGGGTTCCTATTGTGGTAATAAAGCCGGAGAAATGTCGACGTCCTCTAAAGTCCGCCTTTGTAATCCTCAGACCAGAGCTGCAGTCCTTCTGGTGCCCAAAGATCAGCTCCCAAACATCCACACGAGGTCTCTGCCCTTCACACACAAAAAGCTGTAGCTACTCACAACAAAATCACTGACGGTTAACTGTGTCCCTCTGGATGAGACATCAACTGCCGCTCGATGTAATGACATCTTCAGAGAGTCCTTTAACACTGCAGGAACATTACAACCTGTCTGATGACTCGGCAGTAAATGTCGGTTCAAGAAAAAAAAGAAAAACTGGATTCTACAGCAAGAATTCACGAGTTGAATTCTGTTTTTGATCCCGTTAGAAATGAAAAGAGGAAGCCCATCGGAGAGGCTTCTGCAGCTCCGCGAGGCGAAGTGTTTTCAGCAGGAGGCTCAGGGGACAGGATCAGAGGGTCTTTAGTGAACGATGAGGTCGTCTCTACTCCACCTCGTTGGGGATGTCTGTTTTGTCCTTCTTGATGACGGGCAGAGGGTGAGCCTCGGTGTTGAACACCCAGTGGTCGAAGGCTAGGTGGTCGTCATCGGAGAAGAGCAGGTAGAGATACCTGAGGAAGACGGAGAGAGAGATGATTTAATACAACTTAGAGTAATAGGGCAGCAGCAGCTCGGGGTATAATGAGTGGAAGAGCAAGTTCAAATCAACTTTAAAGATTAAGAAAAGGTCAATATGGGAAGCAAGAGCTCTTTCTTCAGTGTGGTCCAACACGCCAAGAGCATTTTTCCACCTTTCATAACAGGGTTCATACATTTCTTTACCAATGATTTTCAATGACTTCTCCATGACTTCTCCATGACCTTTACCTCATTTTCCATGACCAAAGAAAATACTCTTTTTCAGCGGTACCACTGAAAATGGTTTATTTTAACATGGAACAGGAAAATAAGGTCTGAAACATGTTGTGCCTATCTAAAACAAATCAAATCGGCTTACTAGCTTCTACACGCTAAAGCAACTCAAATCTCTCACCAGCAAAATACTTCGTCAGTTAAATGACATTTTACGTTTCATTACTATACGATACAGTATTTATTATCATTATAGTATTACTATTTCTGCGATTAGATCAAATATAAATTATATTTGATGCAACTTTAGTTACATTTCCATGACTTTTCCAAAACCTGGAATTAGCATTTTGAATTTCCATGACTTTTCCAGGTTTTGAATGACCGTAAGAACCCTGACATACCCTTTGAAGCCTTTAGCATGTAGGAAAGACTTACTAGTTTTTGCATCCAGTCAAATGTGGCCCAATGATCATAAAAAAGCTTTTTGCGATGTTAAAAACATCAATAAAACGAATGACTTAATTACAACACTCCAGGAACTGGCAAATAGCGTCTTTAAATGATCATTTTACTGGGTTTCCCATTACAAAAGATTGCATTTTATATTACTAAAGCTGAATTGAAATTGAGACCACGGGTTATAATGAGAAGATGAAGAAGTTAAAATCAACTTTAAAGATGCAAAAAAGGTAAATATGGGAAGCAAGAGCTCTTTTTTCAGTCCAACACGCAAAGAGCATTTTCCACCTTACATACCCTGCACCCTGTAGCGTGTAATACGGCGACTATTTCAACCAACATATCAGGAGAACACACTCGTTTTTGCATTTGCACCATTCAAATGTGGCACTACGACCATAAAACAACGTGTGCAAGGTAAAGAGACATCAACAATAGGCGGAACAACTATAAGACTGGCATTTTGGGAGAAGGACAAAACATGTACGCTGGATACTTACGTCTCTGAATTGTGTAAAAACCATTCATTACACTACTCCTGTAGCAGTAACGTCTTTAAATAATTAATTTTACTGGGTTTCCCATTAAAAAAGATTTAATGTAATATTACTAAAGCTGAATATACTATATATAATGTTAGACAGCTGAGAATACTCCATCCAAAGATGTTGAAATGCATGCTATAGCTGTATCTGCTCTAAGATATAGTTATAACTGAAACTGCTGCAGGTTCCTCATGATCATATCTTCACATCCAGAACAGATAATGTGTTCAGTACTGAGATAAAAACTCTTTAAATGAGGGGGAAATAAAGTTTGGTTTGGAGAAAGATGCTGAAGATAACTGGTTTTGGCATCTGTTTACTGTTCTGTATTTCAGATATCTCTAGATATTAGTTTGCTTTGATCTTTTGCAATATTTATAGGCAGTCCGGCCAGAACAAATATGAGACAGATGTGGAGCGGAGGAAGACAGACGGGCGAGGCTCCGAGCGCTTTATGAAACTTTAAGTGATGAAATTCTACCGACCAATGCCATCAGATGTTATGAAGCAACTCTGAGATAACAAAAGAGTATGAAAGAGTGTGAAAGTACGTAAGAGAAGTTTGTGGGCTGCGGTGATCCGGTGAGATTAAATCAAGATTTCATCACGAAGATTAAGAGAAAGGGAAAGGGAGTTCAATAAGAAGAAAGAAAATGTAGTTTAAAGGGAATTCAGATAAAAGGACGCCAAGTAAAACAAGTAACTAAGTACATTTACTCAAGAACTGTGCTTACTAAGTACATATTTGAAGTACTATTACTCTACCTCATACTTCTACATCTTTATTATTTGGAATCATATATTGTACTCTTGACGACCCTAGTTACTTCACTTCAAATCATATTATTAAAGGTGGGGTAGGTAAGTTTGAGAAACCGGCTCGAGATACACTTTTTGTTATATTCCATGGAATGCTCTTAACATCCCGATAGCAATGAATATCTGAAGTGCTTTGACAATAAATCCATAAGAAATGTCATCTGTGGAAGCCGTAGTACTGTAAAAAGCACGACCAATCATTTTAGCCGGCCCGGCTAAAGTAACTGGATGGCCTACCTGCCTGTCAGCCTTCCATCTGTGCACAAACTTATCTCGTGCCCTCATTGGTCATGTGCGCGTTCGTGTGTGTTGGAGGAGGGGCTCTGTAAGGAAGTGGCAGATTTTTTCCGGTTGTGTATTTTCAAATTCTAGCGATCTCGAGCTGGTTTCTCCAAAATTACCTACCCCACCTTTAAGCCAAATATAACTTATACATCAGGATGTACTTTAATGCATCATTGAGTTATCTCCATCTTTCCCAGCAGCAAAATGAAAATGATCAACACATGAATCCATCACTAGAAAATGACTACTTTTAGTTTTGGTACTTAAAGTATATTTCAAAGTTTTTTGTACTTTTACTTAAAGGGGACCTATCATGCAAAATGCACTTTTGTACGTCTTTTCTACATGAATATGTGTCCCCGGTGTTCCAGGGAACTCACCAAGTGTCCGAAAACACAACCCTCTCTATTTTCCTCCATACACAAATCTCTAAAAAAGGGGCTGCAACAGATCTGATCAAAACTGATCCAGATTTGAACACTGTCCTGACGTCAGGACGGTGGCGCTACGGCTATTGGGCCAACTCCACCAATCAGGAGGAGACAGCCACGGCCATTGCCGTTCGAAAGCGCTGGAGACGCTGTAGTACATATGCCGGGCCTGTAGATGGTGCTGTTCTCACTGAATCTGCCCTTGCTAAAACAGAGCTAAAAAATGTCAAATTGAGCAAAATGAGGCATGGCTAAAATGCATGATCTGTTTGGTATTTTGAAAAAAAAAAAGTATAAATATGCCTTATATAGGTATGGTCCTACACTATATTATTCAAATATAGCATGATAGGTCCACTTTAAAGAGGCCCTCGTATAGTCATTTCCAGGTTCATATGTGTATGTTGTGCCTAGTCTACTGTGACATGTTTACATACTTTAAATGCTCAAAAAGCTCTTTATTTTTCTCATATTTCTACACTGTTGTAATACTACTCCTACTAAGATAGCACTCTCTGCTATATAACAAGTGCAATATTATTATTATTAATAATGTGCTATGATAACGTGCAATTACGTATCTTCCACTACGTTTTTGTTGCACTACTAAATACTGTTAATATTTACTTTATTATGTGACCGTCTATGTTTCCCGTAGATATGTAATTGCTCTTTTTGCTGCACTGTTAATGTACAGTTTTACTATGACGCTGCTGTGTTTATTGTATTGTTGTAACTCTGGCACAACAATTTCCTTCGGGATAAATAAAGTCTTATCTCATCTTAAAAACAATCCGAGTGCTTCCCCCTCCTCTGCAGCACACTAAAACTGACGACTCTCTTGTCTTTCTGGCCGTCAACCTGCAAACAAATCCTGTTCCTCCACAAAGAGGAGGAGGTGAGTGATTGAAGGCAGATGTGTGAAGTATGGCCGTGTCCTTGGAGGGAAGACAGATCCTGGAAGTGACTCAACAACAACCCGAGTAACATTAGAGGATTGGACGTATGGGCGTGTGCTAAATGGGATTGATACGTTCAGGTCCGTCTGGGATGTCGTGCATGAGATGCGAGTCCATTGTGTTGCTGTCCATGCTGCTGGTCACTCTGATGTGTCTCTAGTTATCTGTTCGACGCTAACGAGACGTTTTTTTTGTGCTGCCCCCCCCTCTGGAAAAACTTATTTTATCACGGCAATAAAAATATTCATATCACACTTTGACTTTTTTTATGTGCAGAAGGCTTTTTCTGACACTGATCAGGAGAAAAAATACACTCTGATCTGTTTGTCACAGCGTGGAGGACCTGCGAGGTGTGTGTGTGTGTGTGAGTGAGTGTGTGTATGTGTGTGTGAGAGTGAGTGTATGTGTGTGTGTGTGGTGAGTGAGTGTATGTGTGTGTGTGTGTGAGTGAGTGAGTGTATGTGTGTGTGTGAGTGAGTGTATGTGTGTGTGTGTGTGTGAGAGTGAGTGTGTGTGTGTGTATGTGTGTGTGAGAGTGAGTGTATGTGTGTGTGTGTGTGAGTGAGTGTGTGTATGTGTGTGTGGTATAATCAGGAGTAGAGGTGACGCTTGCTAAAATTGACTGCCTATAAAAAAAAGTGGATTGGATGGCACCTCGCCTCCATAAGGCTCTGTTAGGCTAACCTTGACTTCCTGTCAACAGCTGTCTGGCGTGTGTGTGAGTGTGAGTGTGAGTGTGAGTGTGAGTGTGAGTGTGAGTGTGTGTATGTGTGTGTGTGTGTGTGAGGAGGAAATGAAAGTGGGAGGGAGAGATGGGGGATGCAGGAGAGGCCATAAACATTTCGATTGGAGTACAAAAAAACAGTGAAGGCCATAAATGTAGAGAGAAAGGAGAGTTCAGGAGCTTTACTGTTGAAATAAAACGGATTAAATGCGATATAAAGTATAAGAAGTATCCTTTTAAACTGTGTAGCTTAATTTATATTAACATACTATTAAACAACACTGCCAACTCGAACCCTAACCCTGGTTTGTGTTATAGGAGGTCAGATGGGTTTAATAACAGGTGGGTTAAGGTGAGATCAGAAATAAAATAAACTAATAACATAAAGTAAAATTAAATAATAAATAAATAAGTAAAATTATCAAGAATAAAATAAATAAAATAAAAATAAATTAAAACAGATAAATAAAAAAGGTAGAATTTCAAATCTCCATATACGAGAGGCTCAAATGTTTATTACTATTATTACAACTACTTATTATTACCATATTGTAGCACATTACAGTTTCACCTTTTAACTCTGAAGTGTGCAAACCACTAACCCCCCCCCCCCCCCCTCCACACACACACTGGCTTCATAGTCCCACACTTGTTAAACTGTGGTTGTGATTTTCCTGCAGGGTTTAAAGCAGACTGTCTCCTGATCACAGTTGGATCTGACAGAGGAGCCCTGACATCCCACTGTGCGGCTGACAACACATTTAAAGAGCCATTAGCGCACACACACACACACACACACACACACACACACACACACACACACACACACACACACACACACACACACACACACACACACACACACACACACACCACACACACACACACACACACACACACACACACACACCACACACACACACACACACACACACACACACACACACACACACACACACACACACACACACACACACACACACACACACACACACACACACGAGTAGGAGCTGCCTGTGGTGTTTGGGGGAACGAGGGGGTTATACAGTCTCTCTTTCTCTACTATTTAACACTCATTCAGGCTCAAGACTTGGCTCTGCAGTGTGTGGATGTCACATTTCAAATATTTTATTGTCATATGCTCAAAGCTACAGAGTAGAAATGGCAATGAAAATCTTTTGACCTGAGCTCCTCCAACAATGCAACATATATAATAACATACAAAATAAAAAGTAGTGCAAAAAGTCAATGTCAATAGAACATGGGATATGTACAAGAACAGAATATGCAATAAAATAATGTAAATTAAGACAAAATTAAATACGGTTTATTGCGGTGATAACTATTTATATAAATTAGTATATTGCAAGATGACAACGGGAATGTCTATCGGGGAACTTATCAGAGCTCAGGTGGCTTTGTCCCTCCATAAAGTGCAATCACAGCACAATCATAGGAGGACAGAAGTGAATGTGTGTGTGTGTGTGTGTGTGGTGTGTGTGTGTGTGTGTGTGTGTGTGTGTGTGTGTGTGTGTGTGTGTGTGTGTGTGTGTGGTGTGGTGTGTGTGTGTGTGTGTGTGTGTGTGTGTGTGTGTGTGTGTGTGTGTGTGTGTGTGTGTGTGTGTGTGTGTGTGGTGTGTGTGTGTGATGTGGTGTGTGTGTGTGTGTGTTGTGTGTGTGTGTGTGTGTGTGGTGTGTGTGTGTGTTGTGTGTGTGTGTGTGTGTGTGTGTGTGTGTGTGTGTGTGTGTGTGTGTGTGTGTGTGTGTGTCTTACTTGAGTGTCTCTGCTAGGTAGAAGCTCTGCTGCACGTCGTCGTGGTTTGGAGTCGAGGCGTAGACGTCTCTGACGCCGCTGTAGCCTCCCTCCACCCTGCAGTGCTTCTCCAGAGCCTGATGGGAAACACAGTGACCAGAAAACATCCATCATTATAAGTGTTGGGAAAATACTGAATGTACTCTTCCAATACCAGAGTACACATGATAACAAAGGTATCCCAACTGTAGCTGTGTGCATGACAGGATGTATGATTACCTAGAAGAGCATCAGGACTGTTTTAGGCATATGATAGCTATGTGATTAACATGATGATTCAGCCTCTATGGAGATAGACATATGACAAGCATGATCATTTCTGATGTGGAGCTAATCTGAACTAAACATTGAAGACTGCTTTATATTCCTCCATCTTGTGACTGTGTAACTCCCTCTCTTGGATATCAGCATGTGAAGGACACTGTTCAGGAACTAGTTGATGCTCTGTATGTGATGACTACTTCCATTCTGGAGAGGATCAGAAATACATGGATCCTGAGATTGAAGCTCAAGCCGGGGACGAGTGATATTTTTCTAACAATGTCTTACTTAAAGGTAGGGTAGGTAAGAATGGAGAAACCAGCTTGAGTAAGCTAGAATTTGAAAGTACGCAGCCGAAAAAAATCTGCCCCTTCCTTCAGACTTCTGAATGAATTGTGTGGTGTCTCAAAAAAATCCAAAGATATTAAAGGTGGGGTAGGTAATTTTGGAGAAACCAGCTCGAGTGCGCTAGAATTTGAAAATACACAACCGGAAAAAATCTGCCACTTCCTTACAGAGCCCCTCCTCCAACACACACGAACGCGCACATGACCAATGAGGGCACGAGATAAGTTTGTGCACAGATGGAAGGCTGACAGGCAGGTAAGGCCATCCAGTTATTTTAGCCGGGCCGGCTAAAATGATTGGTCGTGCTTTTTACAGTACTACAGCTTCCACAGATGACATTTTTTAATGTATTTATTGTCATTAAGCATTTAATATATTCATTGCTATCGGGATGTTAAGAGCATTCCATGGAATATAACAACAAGTGTTTCTGAAGTGAATTACCTACCCTACCTTTAATTCTCTTCCTGATTTGTGTTTTTAAGAGCTTGTGATCTGAAATGCCTTCATGCAAACTGCTAAGCTCTTGATGTATTCACAAACGTACCTGGACCGCCTCCCAGCCCCACTCCCTGTATTTGGGGTCGTGTGTGAACCTCCACATGTACATGTAGGTCTCGATGACCTCGGGGCGGAGGATGAAGTATTTCTCGTTCTGCCGGGTGGCGATGGCCTCGACCCCGCCGTCGAAACGAAACGCCTCCGGACCCAGCTTCAGAGCTAGAGGGGGGGGGGAATCATTTTCATAAGAGGAGGTTTTAGGTTCATACAGCCTTGAAGATGATTGAATTGTGACTGATATTATTTCTTTTGACTTTATATTACTTAGATTTATCCACATGTCGACTTGATGTGATTGATTTGTCTTGTCAATGTTGACTTTAAATGAAAATGCTATTCAATTGTTGGTGGTTCCTTCAGGACTGCCTTTAAACATTGTGTCTCATAATCGGATTTAAAATACAGCAATTGATTACATTTTGTCAAATAAAAGACTCTTTGAAATAACACATAATAACTTTTTGATACATGCCTAAAGCCAGTATTGAGACACATATTTGGTTCCCAGTAATTTAATTTGATACAGCAACTGTGGCTCTTGACATTTATATTACTCTTTTAAACTAGACGAAATCGCCCTTTTTTCTATTTTGACAGAAATGATTGAAAAAAGCCATAAAACTAGACAAAATTGACACCAACCAACATAAGCAAACTTCCATCTGTGGCTACATAATCAAAATCAGCTATTGAAGTGACTGTTATTTTGTATATATTGATTATTGTGCTTTTTCGTCTTAATGTGTGTGTGTATAAATGTTAATTGTGTATATATATATATGTATAAACATGTATTTTTTTAATATTTGTATATATATCTGTATTATGTATTCCTCGGGATTGTGGGAAACGGTATTTCGATCTCTCTGTCTGTACACACAAACTGAAAGATTTGATAATCATGTCATTTAGTACGAGTCATTAATATGAAGTATTTATTTACCCAGCAGTATATGAAGTAGTTTCAATTAAACCAACCTATACCAGCTGTAAAAATAGTGACGCTTACAGATTATTACATCACTAATAGACATTAATATATCATTATATTATTATCTAGGGTTATCATAATGTTTACTTTTACTCTTGGTACTTCAAGTGTCTTTTCTTTTGACTCTGATCTTGAAACCAGAGTGACCAATAAAATGAAAGACATACATATTATTGTTGTTTATCATCATATTGAGAGCATATTTACAGGTTCTGGCGTAGGACTCGTGGCAGGTGCGTGCGATCTCGGCGGCCTGCTCCATCTGGTGGCCCGTCTTGTCGCTGGGCGCTCCGTCGGCTCCCAGAGCGATCATCCCGCCGGCGAAACACGTCAGGTGACCCATCTTGTGCTCCAGCAGCCCCCCCTTCCACTCCGCGATGTAGGTCAGCCCGCCGCTCGACTTCCTCATCAGGTTCGTTTCTATCGCCTGGAAGACAGACAGCGAGGAAGAGCTTGACTTAATTTTTCAATTTCAAAACGTAAAGGTCCCCGATTATACTGTTTCTCATCAATATATTATAGGTCTCAGATATATACAGAACATGTCTCTGAAGTGTTTGGCTCCAAACACCAAACAGATCATTGCAGCATTACCCAGAATCCCCTCTGTTTCAGCCCTGTTTCCAAAGTGCTGATTCTGTGTCTGTTACTTTAGATGAAAATAAGGAGCCCCTCCCCACGCCCCTCTGAGAGAGATTTGGTTACAAAGAACTCAATGGTGCTCTAGGAGGAGATTCAGGTGATAAGGTGTGTGGGGGTTACCTTGGTTGGTGATTGGCTAATGGTTACTCAAGCCAAAACATCGTTATGACATCATAAAGTGGCCAAAATCTGATCAGCTCATTTTCAGACAGGTTTTTATATAAATGGATCAGGACAAAAAGAGAGAGAATCTTTTGAGTCTCTTTCCACAGAGGGGACACGTGTTGATGTAGAAGAGACATGAAGAAGAGGGGACACATGTTGATGTAGAAGAGACATGAAGAAGAGGGGACACATGTTGATGTAGAAGAGACATGAAGAAGAGGGGACACATGTTGATGTAGAAGAGACATGAAGAAGAGGGGACACATGTTGATGTAGAAGAGACATGAAGAAGAGGGGACACATGGTGATGTAGAAGAGACATGAAGAAGAGGGGACACATGTTGATGTAGAAGAGACATAAACAAGTGGATTTTGCATAATAGGTGACCTTTAAGAGTTGTGTTTGTACGTTCAACACAACACATTGTACATGCTAGCTTTTCTTAGCATAGTAAAAATGTAGAGAACTAAAGTATGAAAACATAAATAAAATATATCAAAAAACCTGAAATTCAACAGCCATGGTTATAAGTTGCTATTATCAGGGGTCCCATACACATATGTATAGTCCCTTGAAAGGCATAAATCAGTTTTCCTTAGAAATGTTTCCACTTTTAATTCTAACTGAGTATTTCAAGATATTACTTCTACTTGTACTTATGTAAAGAACATGACTTATTCTACTTCTTCCACCCCTTTTAGATGTTAAGGTAAGAGAAGTATTTAAGGTGTACTGCCCCTTTAACACGGCTCAGATTGATCCTATAATGTTCCTGCTGTGTTTCAGATATCCCCCCTGTTGCTGTTCTTGTTGGCGAATAAATCAAGAGCGCCTATAATCCTTGGATATCGAGGGGGGATTATGGGTAAAGTTTCCCCTGCATGGTTAATTCTGCGTTTCAGTCTCCATGTAATAAACATTTCCCCCAGTGTAACAGAGAAACAATCGCTCTCTCCAGCTGAGCCCCGACGCTTGTCACCATAACTTAATCTGACAATTTATTTAAGCAGAGAGAAAGCTATTCACTTTAGAGGGATTCATCTGCTCCCTGTCTTTGTTTTCTTGTATGGAAATGTGTTTGTCTCATCATACCTCACTACGTGGCTCCTGAGGAGAAATTAAACATTGAATATTTGAACATGTTAGCACAGCAGTGGTCCGAGTGACAGATACCAATCATTTTAGCTCAAAATGAGTCCAACTGAGCCCCATGTAGTCGAACACCAGTTAGTGCTGCAGGAAATATCTATGGTGCTAACATGGTCATCATTTAAATGATTGCTTTTATTAAACCATGAGCTTCAAGGTTATTTAGGCGACTAGATGCCGTTAATACCCTCCTGCAGAGGGGCATGAACACAGAGCACTTTTCTATCTGTGAAGCTCTCATGTTTGTTGTCCATTATTATCAAGCAGCCATTCATTATGACTCAGAGGGGGCATGAGGGACACAACACCCCGTGGAGGAAATCCATGCAGCTCACCATCTGTAAACACGTTCAAACCCCGATGTTATTCATTCAATGAGAACAGCTTAAACTGTTTTTCATCAATATATTATTTTATTATTATTGTTAAACGTTTATTTAACCAGGTGGTCCCATTGAGATCATTGATCTCTTTTTCAAGGGAGACCTCAGATATATACAAAACATGTCTCTGAAGTGTTTGGCTCCAAACACCAAACAGATCATTGCAGCATTACCCAGAATCCCCTCTGTTTCAGCCCTGTTTCAAAAGTGCTGATTCTCTGTCTGTTACTTTAGATGAAAATAAGGAGCCCCTCCCCACGCCCCTCTGAGAGAGATTTGGTTACAAAGAACACAATGGTGCTCTAGAAGGAGATTCAGGTGATAAGGGGGGGGGGGGGGGGGGGGGGGGGGGGGGTTACCTTGGTTGGTGATTGGCTAATGGTTACACAAGACAAACAATCGTTATGACATCATAAAGTGGCCAAAATCTGGTCAGCTCATTTTCAGACAGGTTTTTATTTAAATGGATCAGGACAAAAAGAGAGAGAATCTTTGTTCCTGAAACTTTCAGAGTCTCTTTACACAGAGGGGACACATGTTGATGTAGAAGAGACATGAAGAAGAGGGGACACATGTTGATGTAGAAGAGACATGAAGAAGAGGGGACACATGTTGATGTAGAAGAGACATGAAGAAGAGGGGACACATGTTGATGTAGAAGAGACATGAAGAAGAGGGGACACATGTTGATGTAGAAGAGACATGAAGAAGAGGGGACACATGTTGATGTAGAAGAGACATGAAGAAGAGGGGACACATGTTGATGTAGAAGAGACATGAAGAAGAGGGGACACATGTTGATGTAGAAGAGACATGAAGAAGTGGATTTTGCACAATAGGTGACCTTTAAAAAACCGAGGTCGACGGCTGCACACTATACACTCATGGTTTTCTATTGGTGAATGATGCATGAAGTGTTTACGTTATAGCTAGAGGTGTCAAAGATTCAGTCGCAAAAACCATATCTATAGTGGTAATTCATCATAGAGATAAAACAAATACACGTGTGGTGTTGTAATATAGAGATGTTTCACAAACTGGTGAGAGAAAGCAGAGGGTTTTCTTACTCTATAACATATCAGATTAGTTTTGATGGTTTCTGACCTGAATTATTGGCATGAAGCCTGACAATTTTCCGACACTAGGCTAAAGCATCGTCAAAGCTGCTGTGATCAATCTCTGTATAATATGTGCTACAAATTAGCTGGTATGGAAGTATTCTTGGTGTGTTATCATATTGTGAGCACTATCTGTTCCTACAGTGGTCTCCGCTATCTCCCACTCATGTGCAACTTCAGGAAATTGGTGCATGCTTGAGCAAAGTACCTTTCCTCCGTTTTCACCTAAAGAACGAGTGAAGTTGTTTCTTTATATCGAGCTATATCTGCAGTCAGTGCTAGACATATAGCATGCTTTATTTGCTTTTTCACAGCCATGCAATTCATGGTTAAAATCCCCACTGAAGTTATGGAAAGAAGTCTGGGTCGAACTTGGTGATGTGATTAATTTGCGTTACCATTTCTATATGAATCATGAGGATGAATGTGTGAATGTTCAGCTCTAGTTCTAACATATGTTGATGTTGTTATTGAGATACTACAATGTAGCATGACTCTGAGCCATGCAACAGAGTGATAGAAGTGCAACAGATTGGAAATCACAGCCCTCAGAGATCAGTGCTAAACATGATGTGACGATCGGGAGAGAAAAGGTGCTTAACAGCCTTCACAGATGGTGCGTTTAGGGACCCGCAGACAACTGACAAACTATGATTTCTGTTTTAGTCGGACAATTAGCGCTAACGGGTAAAAACCACATGAACAGAAAATGTTATTGGTTTGTGTAACATGGCAAAACAGACGACGGTTTACAACTGAGTGAGTTGAAAAAGACAAAAAACCTGTCACATATTTTACAAGATGTGATCAAATAATCAGAAAATTGAGTAATGAATAATAAAATGAGATGGAGAACATCCTGTCACTGATTCTGTTTGAGTAGAACATGCAGTTTCAGTCCTTCAAACACATTACATACATATTGTCCTAATATGTTCAGCCTTCACATGCTAGAAACACAATAAGAACTAGAATTAAATAACAGGTTGGGCTCCCTTTGTCGAAAAGTAATGGTGATGAAAAGTCTAGGGATACAAGTAGTGATTATGTTTGGACTATGAAATGTTAAAAGTGACGTCAAATGTCCTATTTTGTCTGAAAAACTGCTCAAACCAAAATATATTCAGTATTCCTCACAAATGATAGGCTGGAAGAACATAATAATAGGCATTTTGGATAGACAAAATGACTCAAATGATGAATCGATTATCAACGTATATGATTCATTATTGTATAGATGGGTTCATCTTTGCAGGGGAACGAAGAATAATTCCACCTGCAGTTTAATCCCCGAAGAGTCAAAGTCACCTTAACCCTGATTGAAGAGATTACATCTGTGTACGTGATGGCAGCAGCGTGAGTGTGTGTGTGTGTGTGTGTGTGTGTGTGTGTGTGTGTGTGTGTGTGTGTGTGGGTTACCTGCAGGGCATCATAATACATCTTCTTTGCTTCGTCGTCAGTCTTGTCAGACATCAGCCAGGCCTTGAGCAGGTACTCATAGAAACTGTCACCAAGGCCACCCACAGACACGTGATCTGCAACACACACATAAACAGACATTAAAACACACACACTTAAATACACACAGGCCTCCTACATGCGAGCTGTTTAAGAACACAAGTGTTGGCTCATCCCTAGATCATCATTACGCCCCTTGTAGCACTTTGGGATTACTTTTAGCAATGAATAAAAATTAGGGCTGTCAGTCGATTAAAATAGTTAATCGCGATTAATCGGAAATTAATCGCACATTTTTTATCTGTTCTAAATGTACCTTAGAGGGATATTTTTCAAGTTTTTAATACTCTTATCAACATATGAGTGGACAAATATGCTTTATGCAAATGTTTGTTTATTATCATTGGAACAATGACAAATATTCTCTTGAATATTCTCAACACAACAACCTGGAACCTCTCTCTCTCTCTTACACTCTCTCCCTCTCTCTCTCTCTCTCTCTCTTACACTCTCTCTCTCTCTTTTACACTCTCTCCCAACCCTGTGCACTTCTCTGCACTGAGCCAGTTGCTCAAACAGACAAGCCTGTTTACAGTTGTCGGGGAAATGCCGCTCCTCTGTCTTCATAACAGTCAAAGCATGAGACTGAAGTTCCCACTGCAAACTTTCAAGCGTGGTCTGCCGCAAGCGAGCGGCAGGAGCGGGGCTGTCGGCATCAGCTGTTTGCTTGGCTTGCTGTTGAAAACACCTTTTCTTGTATCCATATCTCTCGCTAGAATCTTCCACCATCCAACTAACAACAACAACGTCAAGCCTTTGGGCTCTGAAACTACGGGGCGGGCCGAGGACAAATACACATGCATTAATCGCACGTTAAAATAATTAGTTTGCGTTAACTTGACAGTCCTAATAAAAATACAATTTATAATTATTATTATTAAATGTATTATCATCATCTGGTTTCATTATTAATATCTTTATTAATAATTGCTACCTACTACATAACTGTATACTGTATATTATACATATGTATGTTCACATAGTTACATTATTATTTATTTATTGTATTACTTTGAATCTTATGTTATTACTTTAGCTTGATGTGTGTGTGTGTGTGTGTGTGTGTGTGTGTGTGTGTGTGTGTGTGTGTGTGTGTGTGTGTGTGTTATTGTATGTGGACCTGCTGTACTTCAGCTGATTGTGAGTGAAGGCTCATCCATATGCACGTCTCATTAACAGAGTCCAGCCTCTGTGTGTGCAGCGCAGAGATTAAATGTCAGCTGTGATCATCTTAAAGTGAAGAGAAAGGAGGCGAAGGGATGAAGGTGTGTGGGTTTATGAAAAGCACCTGGCCTTCTGTGAGTTCAATAACAATGAGATGAAAGAGCCTATTGATTATACAAGTCATGAAAAGCTATTAGAAATTAATTAAAAAACATATTTGAGGGTCGAAACTATGACTCAGCAAGTGGTAACATAACAGCCAGAAAGAAATCATAAAAGCTTCACTCTTCTGTGTTTGTACAGCACATAAAAAACCCTTTTGGATATTTTTCAGACAACATTAGATTGCAAACATCCCATGGTCATAATTTATTCAACAAATGCACTCCCATTACTATTGCATAATGTCTTTCTTTCTGACTAAGACAAGCATGAACGCTTCTCTCTCTTCAGCTGATTATTTCTGAGTTGAGTGGGGATTGTTTCTGTTAAAACTTGCCTTTTCTATTCAGTATTCCTAATTGAATATGTCACCATTTACATAATATACTTGGATGAAAACACAGTTACTGGCTCTGGTTAAGAGTGTCAGCTAAATGCCAACAATTATAACTGTGGATGTGCTTTTACTCAATGTTTTATGCAACAGAGAATACAAGTAAGTAGAGTAGAGGTGCAGCTCCACATTTAACCAGCACTGATACTAGCTGCCCTCCGATCAAGAGGGTTCTGAAGCAGATATAATTAAGTATAACACAAAAAAAACATGCTTTAATGTTCAAAAAGCTTTTTATTTTCCCTCTGTCTGAAACCAGAGCCCAGTCTGCTCTGATTGGTTATCTGGCCGGCACTGTTGTGATTGGTCAACCGCTTAGAGATGTCCCGCCCCTTAGTTTATCACATTGGGGGTGTTTCTCAATCTCGAGTAAAGCTGCTCCAGAGCCATTATTTCAAGCATACTACGTCATCGAGTCCCGCCGAAGGACTGTTCCAATGTCCAGCATACTTGGAATTCTACCGAGCCCGGCGTACTTCGTAGCGGGAAATTTCGAGGCTGCACATGGGTAGACTTCGCGTCCTTAAAATCCCCACAATGCTTAGCGCACGGACCAATTTCCCCAAATCTGTGGCGGAAAAATGTAAGGCGGGGCCTCGCATATGACGCACACCTGCACACTTGCTCGCCTGTTCCAGTATTCTTGCCTCGCTTCTGAAGCAAGTGACTCGGAAGACATGTGCTACCAGGCAAGCGTACTCAACATTGAGAAACACCCACAATGTGTTGGAGTGCTAGCCAATAGGAGCGTGAGTTTTACATAGAGATGTCACTATGCTATTTTAGCTTTTGCAGACCATTTACATGCACACAAACCTAACTGTACAGCTGCAATGGTTTCAATGCTATCATCTAACTCTCAGCAGGAAAGCTCGTCCCAAAAAAAGGGCGAACTATTCCTTTAATTACCCGGCTCCTTTTATATAGAAGCCATGTCACTTTGAGGTTGTTCTGAAGTCCAATGTCTGCTCTCTAGTGGTCAAAAATATCTTAAAGCTGCCTTAAAAAATGGGTTGAGAAATGGAAGTTGATATCGAGCACATCTCCTGCCTCTTGTCAGAGTCACTTTCATTATATCTCCTCTCCTGGCAGTTTTCTCTGACATATGACAAGGCATAAGAAAAAGCTGCTTTCTTTCCTATACCTTACATCCCTGCTACATTTTATATATATAGTTATCCTTCTGTGGCTCCATATGTTGCTCTCCTCACCCTCATATTCCCCCTCTATCATTATGTCCATTACCTGTTCAGCTTCACGCTCTGAAGAGTTTGGTAATCGATGTGAAATGACAGCCTTTTACCACAACATGCCGATAAAACAGACAGGTGAACGGACACATGCTGTTTAAGAGACCAGGGGAGTTTAAAAATACTCGACAGAGACTCAGCTGGGTTGCAGTGATGTAAAGAGAGTGGAAAGAAAGGGATGAGGAGGTGTGAAGAGAGGAAGGAAGGGAATAATGGACAGGACACTTTAGCAACACTGGCAAATGGAAATATGTCAAATAAATCAATATTGTTATTTGCATTTGTAAATCTTATAAAGTCATTATATTGGACTTTTTTATTTTATTATTTAACTTTTTTAATTTGTAATGCTATTTAATTTTTATTTCTGAAATATTTCGGACTGCTTATTTCTTGTGTCTTAATTTCTCTTATTGCCTTGTGTTTTTTATGCTGCTGCAACGCAAACATTTCCAAAATTGGGATCAATAAAGTACCTATCTATCTATCCATCTATCCATCTATCCATCTATCCACTCATCCACCCATCCACCCATCAGACAACGGTTAAACAACCATAATAAATCATAGAAAGTTTTTCCCAAAGCTTTATAAATTGTGACAGGAGATTATTAAGAAGAAACATAATTAGGGGCAAGTTCATCACTCTTGAAACCATCAAATCTGAGCAGTAAAGTGATTATTATACCAGAAGGATATTTGCATTCCTGGTTGATTTACGTGCAAATGACAGGTGTGGAACATTTTTCTTTGGAAAGAGCATCAGAAGTGCATTGCAGTAATCCAGACAAGTGGTAATTTGCATGCATTAGTGTTTCAGAGTCACCTTTAGAAAGAAAAGGTTGAACTTCACTGACACTCTTCACGAGAAAAATGCTAATTTCGTGACTGTTTCTGATATCGTTCTCAAAGTCCAGGGTGCTATTAACCCAAAGAGTTCAACATGTGATTTCCATTTTAATTACACGGTGGTCAGGAGTGTAATTACCGTCTCTCTCTCTATTCTTCTGAGGGAAATCATGAGCAAGTCTTGCATTTTATTACAGTAGAACGCTTTTGGCCACTCTCTCTTTAAAACCCAGAGAAAACCAACCAACCCTCTGTACTGCCGGTTAATTAGACTTGTCCACTGTGTTGCAATAAGCTCTAAGGAGTATCCCAAAACACACTGACAACCTAAATCCACTTTAATTTGAGTGTTTACCCAGCTACTGGAATATCTAGTTCCTACCAGAAAACTAGGGTGCAGCTCTAAGTCAAGTGTGCAACATGCATGTGAGCTACTTATTATATTAGTACAAATAACTGAGTAAAAATAACTTTTGGTTGTTTTTTCTGCTGTTTCTCAATACTAGCAAACAGACTGCGATTGCTAGCTCTATTCAGCATAACTGTATTACAAGAAATATTCAGTCAAGCTGCTTTAAAGTCACACATTTAAACTAAAATTGAGGTAGAAAAAACCTTGATTCTTTTTTGGGTCTTATTCGACTGAGATTAAGAATCTTTTTGGTCATATTTGAAAGATTACTGTAATGGATGAGTCATGTTTTAATGCTGAATTACCTTTTTCAAATAAATTATAGGCACATACTGTATCTTGAATTTTCAGTTGTCTTTGGAGAAACTCAGTTTTACAGATCTATCGATGAAATCTACTAAACGAAATGTCAACAAAATGATTGGAGGGTTAGTCGACTAAAGGTCCTTACACACCAAGCCGATTTCGGCTGTCGATAGATGTCTGGCCGTCGATGAGTGTCCTGTCGCCCTACTCAGATTGGTGTGTCCCGCCTCGTCGTGTCTTTTCGGCCGTGCCGACACCTTCCGCCGCCGATTCGACATGTTGAATCGATAGGCTGTCGGCTAAAGGCCGTCGGCCAAAGAAATCACTCTGATTGGCTGTTCAGCTAGCGAATCAGTGCATGAGAAGCGAAACGGAAGTGAGGGACCCAAACAAACTATCAAGAAGGAAAATCTGAGATTTCATTTAACTCCAGCTCTCGACACAGGTTCGGGAAAGCCCCATGAGCTTCTCGCTGTAGAGTGAAAATGGAACACACACGCTATTTGTTGTTTGTTTATATCACGCAGTCTGTTCTTCTTCTCTCGGTGTATCACGCAGTCTGTCTTCCGGTTGTTGCCTCTTTTGAATTACGAATACACACTACCGCCGCCTGCTGGTGAGGAGAGTTATTGCCACTCACGCATGCGCAGTTCGTACGTGCTACTTGGCCGTCGGCTGAAGTCTTTGCGGTGTGTTCCAGTGCGACTGTTGGCCAAGACGCAGGAGACGTGAGGCGACACAACAGTCGGGTCCGTCGGGACGTGTTCTTTGGTGTCAGTTTGGTGTGTAGGCCCCTTAGGGTTAGGGTTGGTTAGGGTTAGACTTTCTTTAGTTGAGGACAGGCCTATTAGTTCTTATTAGGCCTCAAAGTTATTCGTATCTTAATCAAAATCGCAATTTGGGCTAGTGCAATTTCAACAGCAGCATGCACATTATTTATTGCAGGCTAAATAAGTGTTAATATTCTTAAATAAATATTGTGGTGCTGAATGGATGTCGTGGCCTACAGATCGTATTCTATGGACTTAATAAAATATGTTTGTTTGGTACCGACCCTCTTAAAATAATCACAACATGATTAATTTACAAATATTTTTCAATAATAATGAGAAAAAGGTCAAATTGCAATAGCAATATCACTCAAAATGATCATAAATCTGTTATGTTTCCTGAATTGTGCTGCCCTATTGTATCCTAATGATAACATCTGTATCTCCACAACATCTTTGTGTCAGCGTTTTGACAAAAATAAGACACAGAATCTGTTTGGCAAGGCATCTAAGACTCCTGAGATAAAGGGCAATGTTCCCTCTCAGGCGTTGTCTTGATGCTCAAGTGCTACACGAGAGGGAATTGCAGGAGAAAGGCGAGACGGAGGAAATGGTTTGTGATGTAAAATGTGCGGGTGAAGTGAAGAGGACTTACGCTGGCCCCACTGGCCGCTGTTGGGGTTCAGGTAGTTGGGGTACAGACCCTGAGGTTTGTCCAGGCGATTCAGGACCTTCCTGATGTTCATTACCTAACGATTAAAGAATCAAACACAAATGCAATGAGTTCAGTTCACTTCAAACACCACAAGTGAGCATACAGTATGTAAAGAGAATATATAACACTCTGATAATACAGAAACTAACAAATGTCATTCAAGATTCAAGGCTTTATTGTCATGTAGAGATGGCAATGAAAAACGTAAGTCCCAGGCTCCTCCAACAGAGCAACATGAATATATACTGGACATAAAACAAATAAAACAGATCAAATAGTGCAAGAGAATTAGCTTTATTAACTATATATATCCATTTCTTGCACAATAATATCCTGCATTATATCTGCTACTTGAAATTTGTATTTCTACATCTATTTCAGACATATTTTCAATAAAGTACTGTCTGTCTGTCTGTCTGTCTGTCTGTCTATCTATCGTCTGTCTGTATATCTGTATATCTATCTATCGTCCGTCCGTCCGTCCGTCTATCGTCTGTCTATCGTCTGTCTGTCTATCTATCGTCTGTCTGTCTGTCTATCTATCTATCGTCTGTCTATCTGTCTGTCTGTCTATCTGTCTATCTATCTATCGTCTGTCTATCTATCGTCTGTCTATCTATCTATCGTCCGTCTATCTATCGTCCGTCTATCTATCTATCGTCCGTCCGTCCGTCTATCGTCTGTCTGTCTGTCTGTCTATCTATCTATCGTCCGTCTGTCTATCTATCTATCTATCGTCTGTCTATCGTCTGTCTGTCTATCTATCTATCTATCGTCCGTCTATCTGTCTATCTGTCTATCTATCAATCTATCGTCTGTCTATCTGTCTGTCTGTCTGTCTGTCTGTCTGTCTGTCTGTCTGTATATCTGTCTATCTGTCTGTCTGTCTATCTATCGTCTGTCTATCTGTCTGTCTGTCTATCTGTCTATCTATCTATCGTCTGTCTATCTATCGTCTGTCTATCTATCTATCGTCCGTCTGTCTATCTATCGTCCGTCTATCTATCTATCGTCCGTCCGTCCGTCTATCGTCTGTCTGTCTGTCTGTCTATCTATCTATCGTCCGTCTGTCTATCTATCTATCGTCTGTCTATCTGTCTATCGTCTGTCTGTCTATCTATCTATCTATCGTCCGTCTATCTGTCTATCTGTCTGTCTATCAATCTATCGTCTGTCTGTCTGTCTGTCTGTCTGTATATCTGTCTATCTGTCTGTCTGTCTGTCTGTATATCTGTATATCTATCTATCTATCGTCCGTCTATCGCCTGTCTATCGTCTGTCTGTCTGTCTATCTATCGTCTGTCTGTCTATCTATCTATCGTCTGTCTGTCTATCTATCGTCCGTCTGTCTATCTATCGTCTGTCTGTCTGTCTGTCTGTCTGTCTGTCTGTCTATCGTCTGTCCGTCTGTCTATCTATCGTTCGTCTGTCTATCTGTCTGTCTAAAAGTTAGAGTAAAAGGATGATTATTTGACATTACAGTCACGTCTAAAGTGCAAGAGAGCAAGTGGAAAACCTGTACAAAAGCAGCCATTGACTGTGAAAAAAGGTAATACCATCTATTCCCATGTGTGTCCGTTACCTTCTGTGCAAACTCAGGATTCCCAGAGAGTTTGCTGAGGTGCATGAACTCTAAATGCAGCGTGCCGTACTCTGCCAGGATGCTGCTGCCGCCAGACGCCCAGGGCCAGTTCCTCCCAACACCGCTGGAAGAAGATGAGAAGAGACTTTAGGAATGCATACAAGTTAGAAAAAAGATCAGTCGTCTCCGGCTTGAGCTTCAATCTCAGGAATGGAAGTAGTCATCACATACAGAGCATCAACTAGTTCCTGAACAGTGTCCTTCACATGCTGATATCCAAGAGAGGGAGTTACACAGTCACAAGATGGAGGAATAGAAAGCAGTATTCAATGTTTACTTCAGATTAGCTCCACGTCAGAAATGATCATGCTTGTCATATGTCTATCTCCATAGAGGCTGAATCATCATGTTAATCACATAGCTATCATATGCCTCAAACAGTCCTGATGCTCTTCTAGGTAATCATACATCCTGTCATGCACACAGCTACAGTTGGGATACCTTTGTTATCATGTGGACTCTGGTAGTGGAAGAGTACATTCAGTATTTTCCCAACAATAAAGCAAAAACGTACAAAACAAATGTGTTTTAATTTCAGAGGATGAGCATCGTAGGAGGAAATTACATTTGAAGCATCAGTTTACACGTACTGCTTGAAAGCAGATGTGTGTCTCTGTAGTTGGCGTAAAGAAGTGGAATACAAAGGATAAAGAAAGCGTAATTAGACAGTATGAAGTTGACTTTTGATTGTGTATCTGTAAGCAACTGTGAGTGAAATAATATTGCCGTTATTTCATTTTTCTTTTTTAATACGATTTTCTTCTCCCTGCTCCTTTCCACCATGCGCTATAAAAACCAGTATAAGTGTACATGTTTTGTAAAGTGTACATGTTTTGTAAAGTGTACATGTTTTGTTTTAAAATAACTGCCATGTGTGGAATAAACAAATACACAATAAACAAGAAAAAGAAAGAAAGTGTTTCTGTTAAAAAAAAACATGGCAACAAAGATATGTATGTAAAAGAGCTGCACGATATTTGACACTTCAAGTTCATTATTTGACGTCTTCTTTTCAGCCACAAACAGTCAAAGTGACCTGGTTTTAACTTGAGTGTTTCCTCACTTTATTATGAGTCATGGTAGAAGAAATAATTCCTGAGAACAAAGCAAAGCCAACTTGTCTCAATATTAAAGTGACAGCTGAAAAGAGGCGATAAATCCTGAAAAAGGTCAGCTTCACACTCTCAGTGAGTCATACTTTAAAATGTGACGACTATTAAAAAGTTCTGGTAATTTACACATTGTTTTAAAAAGCCATCTTTTGCCTCAGTGACATTTACAAAACAGATTCTTAAAAAGGACATCGACTGCGTTACATTAATGACACTAAAAGCTAACCTCACGCTCCATCCGTCATATTTATGGGAGCATTCGTTTAGTTTTTCTCACACACACTTTGGCACGATTATTATTCTGTGTGGTGTCTCTAGGTCAGTCAATCTTCAGGACCCCACCCTCTCCCTTGACATTGCATGAAGTGACAATGACGTTGCGTAACTCAGGCCATATGTGAACGTTTCTAACCTCCAGCACGCTTGAAAAGGACAGAAGACCTAGCAACAGGGTGTGTGTGTGTGTGTGTGTGTGATCATTAGAGCCACTGACAGATGACTTCCAGGCTCACGACTAATGACTCTGGTGGCGATGCATCAAGTGACTACTCATGAATACATATTAACAATCCACCACACACACACACACACACACACACACACACACACACACACACACACACACACACACACACACACACACACACACACACACACACACACACACACACACACACACACACACACACACACACACACACACACACACACACACACACACACACACACACACACACACACACACACACACACACACACACACACACACACACACACACACACACACACACACACACACACACACACACACACACACACACACACACACACACACACACACACACACACACACACACACACACACACACACTAGAGAAAGGAGGACGAGGAAAAAGGAGTGTGATTTGGGAGGAGAGCCATAATCACACACTCACATTTTCAAAGAGGTGGATGAACACACCAAGTATCCCCCTTCAACTCATCCTGCTGCACAACCCATCATTTGTTTCCCATTACACCGCAGATTTAATCAAGTCCACCAGAAAGGACCACCGAGAGAGAGACCAGGGTCAGAGGTTTGTCGCTGAGTGTGTGTGTGTGTGTGTGTGTAAAACATAAATAAAAAAACTGTAAATATTTGTAAAAACCTAAGGCTAAGATAGATAGATAGATAAAATGTAATTACATAACATATGTATACAAGCAAAAAAAGTAAGAGATGGGGTTTGGTTTGAAATACAATGCATGAACTGAGTGAACTGTGATTGAAATGCTAGTAAACCAAATAACAAAGATGGAGTCGGGGAGATGCAGCTGCTGCTTTTTTGGGTGAAATGAAGTTATTTCAGAAGCTACTGAGGGGCATTCAGGCCTGTTCTCTAATGGAAACTCTTTGTTGCTCCAGTCACTTCCTGTGCTAGGGTTTGAAAACTGGCATTCATCCATTGACATACGGCACAATACCACTGGAATAGTCCATGTGATGGGAATCCTCTGTTGTGTTTGACTACTGATGCAGAGGAGAGCTGCATGTGGCCCAGTTTACACATTACTGTTAGCAACTAGCACGCTCTACATCAGGGGGGTCCAAACTACTATTTTAAATCGGCCCTCACTCAAATTAAAAAAGTATAATGACTTAAAGGTCACCTATTATGCAAAATCCACTTCTTCATGTCTCTTCTACATCAACATGTGTCCCCTCTTCTTCATGTCTCTTCTACATCAACATGTGTCCCCTCTTCTTCATGTCTCTTCTACATCAACATGTGTCCCCTCTGTGAAAAGAGACTCTGAAAGTTTCAGGAACAAAGATTCTCTCTCTTTTTGTCCTGATCCATTTATATAAAAACCTGTCTGAAAATGAGCTGATCAGATTTTGGCCACTTTATGATGTCATAACGATGTGTTGGCTTGTGTAACCATTAGCCAATCACCAACCAAGGTAACCCCCCCCCCCCCCCCCCACCTTATCACCAGAATCTCCTCCTAGAGCACCATTGAGTTCTTTGTAACCAAATCTCTCTCAGAGGGGCGTGGGGAGGGGCTCCTTATTTTCATCTAAAGTAACAGACAGAGAATCAGCACTTTGGAAACAGGGCTGAAACAGAGGGGATTATGGGATGCTGCAATGATCTGTTTGGTGTTTCAGCCAATCAGAGACATGTTCTGTATATATCTGAGACCTGTAATATATTGATGAAAAACAGTATAATAGGGGACCTTTAAGTATAATAAACTTCTGCTTGTCTTATATTGTACTTCTTAAATAGATATGTTCAAATATATTACACAGTATTCATAGGCCCACTTTTCAAATACATTCAGTCAATTAAAGTTGAAAACATGTTCTAAGTTGATAAGAAAAAAGCCCAATAACAAATATACCTAACAACCTTGAAATATACCCTTCATATTTCCTCTTATAAGCAATCTGAAGCTTTAAGGGATGAGCTGCTAGAAAAAAAAAGTAAACCCTATGGAGAGCTGTGAGCTGTTTTTTTCTTACAGCATTTTCAAGTATCAAGAATAATTGACCTATATTGGATTGACTTTTCCAATTTATAACAGAACTTATGAGGCAATAAACCTCTGGTGAGTGGCCCAGCCCTTCGTATATTTTTCTGTATGAGGCCCCCGGGGGAAAAAGTTTGGACACCCCTGCTCTACATGCATGTTCCTCCAAACTCTGAGCTATTGAAACCCTGTTAAGTTTATGACTTCTGCTCATAAGTGGTCCAAATGTGGGAATATATCATGACAGCAGCCTTAACTAGCTTTCATCAAGTCTAAAGACGTTATGTAACAATGACAAAGCAGTGGAATTTGCTGTAAGATGGTGATTATTTTCTGTTGTTGACAGTGCTGTGTGATCTCAGTTGGATTCATTTTCACAGTCGGGGGTATGGAGGTTAATTCATTTCACTAACAGGAGGCAGAGTGGTGTCTCTTTTTGTGTCATTTCACTTTGTACCAGACGGCAATAATGTAATGCAGCTCGCTGGGAGAAAAAACACTACGTAATTCTCTTTGCAGACGTTAATGACATTTTATGGTGACCTAGAACTAGATATTATGCAAAGCTTAAAGCAATGTATCAACGCTGATATTGAACTTTCATTATAAATCAAGAGATCATCCACATCTGACAGGGCGGTTATGAGGCTGTTTGTTCGCTAGGAGTTCATATATTTAAATCAATTTGCTTAGCTCACATTTGATCCTAATCATCCTGTTGCATTAACTGTCATCATGATAAAACGTTCCTTACATTGATGCCACTTTGAACTATAAGGGTTTACGTTGGAGCAGGTATTCCAGTCCTTATGGTGTCTATGTTATTTGTCTTTTGGGGGTCTCCAAGCTTCTTATTATCCCACCTTTCACACCCGATGCCAATTTCCTGGCCAGCTGTGAAATGACAAATCCTGGCCTGCTAGTTTTATACCCTCCGTTTGATTCTGCAAGCGCCAACAGCATTGATTTTAATTCTGTGGTGCCAAGCGGTAACCTGGAAAAACAGAAAAGGCTTTCCATCTCCATAAATTAGCGTGTCATGCCAGGAAGTGCCCTCTCACACTCCTCCTAGCATGCCTATTGGAAATAAGTCTTCCAACGTATTCATACTCTGATGAAGTCTATATTTTTGCCCAGTTTTTGGTTTCTATTCTTCTCCTCATTTAATCCATGACCTCTGTTTCCCTCCTGCTTTCCTTGACTTGAAAAAACATCGCACATCGCCGCCTCCAGGCGCAAAAATAAAATGTGAATTGCGATAGATTCTTAACAACTTAATTAGAGGCTTTAAATAATGGCTGCCTATCACTGCCTTAGGTTACTGCCGAGGAGAGCTGCACTGAGACCATCTAGGTGTGTGTGTGTTTGCTTTGAAGACATCTCTGGATACCCCTGAATGCAAGACTTGTCTTTGTTGCTTAAAGGTTGCCTCAGG